AGATTGTTTCTAATATTGCTAATGTCCACACTATATCAAATATAAATTTTGAGATTTGCTATTAGAATATTTTAATGGTGAAAGGAAAGATAAATATTTCATCCCCTTTTGTGATGTATATGCTGGATAATATATAGTGGAAATATGATTAATATATATATGGTTCACTTGCGGAGTTCACATTTATGCAGTCCATAATCATAAAGGAAAAATTAAGTCAGTATTTATTACATGAAAAATTAATAATTCGACATTAATTTCCTATCTGGAAACCTTTCTAGACAGTCAGGTGATTTTCGAGGAATGAAAATTTTCAATAGCAAAATTCGTATTATTAACTAGCCCAAACTACTCAAAAAGCACATCTTGATTCGTAACATACATTTCAAAAATTATAATATTATTTATCTTATACATCTAGCTTTGTAATTATAAGAAATAAAGGGCGAATAAAAGACTTCCCGGAAGAAAATACAGCGACGTTTGTCCTGGCGAGCAACAGGTCGAACCAAAACAACCCGATCACGAGTTGACAGGAGGATTTCTCCCACGAAAGACCACAGGCGCCAGGATGAAGATTTGCGGCCCTAAATTGTCCCTTTGTTGCACCATTTTGAGTGTGTGGGCGATCATACAACTTGTGAGTATCTTTATATTGGAAGTGGTGTGAGGTTTCGGGTATTTGTAAATGTCAGGAGGTTGGAATTAGTAATGGGGGTGGCAGTGGATCGTCGTTCGAGGAAGATTATTTTATTTTGTCTATAGGTCTATGACGGATATTGGCTTTTCTGGTGTTTTTGTTGGCGACGGATTTAGTATTTTCGGCCTGATGTTTCATAATCTAATAGGTTATTTTATATTATCTTGTATGTCCTTGACTGGGAAATAGTATTTGCTCTTGCTTAGGGTATTCCTGCAGTTAAAGAATTTATATTGCATGTAAGTAATCTAAAGTAAAATTTCAGTCTTACCTGTATAGTAAATTCCATCTAGGTAGTTTCTAAATCTCCGTGAAATCTCTTTTGTAGTCTTGGCAACTCTAGGGTTCACTTCCGTTTACGAGCATTCCAAGAAGAATTGTCCCAAACTAAGGCTGTTGTGAATGGGGTAAATCTGCTTTATTATTGTATATTTGTATCGGCCTATATTCTTGATTAATTATTATTGATTAAATTAACTTTTACAGTATGGGTGCCCAAAGTTAAAGCAAATTGAAGATGACAGTTCTTGTAGAGGACGAAAAGTTATAGTTGTTAGACAAGAAATAATCTGTAGATATGAATAGTAATGCCAGGCACGCCAGTCGCACCTAGTAAAGAACTTTTATTCATTGTAGAGAATAGCAGGTAATCAAGAAATGTCATGTTTTAGATCATTTTTTGCAAATAAATGTGTAATAAGTGATCATAAGTAAGTTGTGGAACACAACTAGTAATAGTGGTATAGATTTAAATAATGACTGCATGAAGATGGAGTAATATTTGTAAAGTATTGGCAACTTTCCAATAGTGTCACTCATTTCCTGAACCAATCATTTATGATGTTAAACAACAGATGTACTCATATTACATTGTAATTGCAAGGTTAGAAGGCTGTGTAAAAAAAATAGGCTATATGTAGAGTCTTTAATCAGTTATAATGCCTGTTCCTATTTCTAGATAGTAAATATGATCTTAGAATAGTAAATATGATTCTGTACATACTACAGAGGAAATTATATGTGTAATCAATATATTTATGATTTTAAGACCTTTTTTTCCCCATGATATAAACCAAATAGATATAACCAAGCAGTTGCTGTGGTCTATGCACCTTCAGTGCTCTGGCACCACATGAATCCTGGAAGGAAAAAGCCTTGGTCTGCTTTCATATTTGACAATAAATTACCAAGGAGGTTTGCAATTTTAATTTGTATATTGTTAAACTCTATAGCAAATTGAAAATGTTTTCTTTTATAGATATATTATGAACAATAATAATTTTCATTACATTTCAACCTGCCATTCAGAATAATTTTTTTTGTCCAAACTGTATTTACCAAGATACTTAAAAAGATTGATAGCACCACTTCCATTCAGCATTTTGAACCACAATATGAAATAGACTTTTTCCCAAGAGTAGTCTGACTGCTGTTTTTTGTGTAACATTTTATTTATCATAAATGAAGGTGGACATTTTCTTTTATCCCTGCTAATTATTAGAACAGAAAATAAATTAAAGAGATTGTCATCTAGCTGTATCTAGTATTGCACAGTGCACCCTCATTAGCCAAACACGATGATGGCATTTAGCTCCACCCCATATAATGGAAATTTTCTCAGTACATTTCCCTTGAAAATGTTTCAATTATGATAAAGGTAAAGGATTAATTGATAAAGACAAGCTTTTAATATTTACAATAATTATTTGTAAAGGGATAGGGCTTATCTCAGCAGTTGCCAACTAGAATATCTTTGAAACATTGTGTTGCTGCCCTGTCAAGCCCACTGGATATTTGGTTGGTGTATGCATACAGTGGGCTTATGAATTCTATAATGTAATAAAGGAATATATTTTTTGAAATGCATATACATCTTTATAACTTAAGCAAATAAAGCTAGATTTATCTCCATAAATGTTGTACAGTTTAAGAAGCCAGTAATTATTGTCTCCTCTCAATTTGCAGGGGTTGATGGCCATCTTCTTCTATATAAGATCCCCTGCCTTCATTGAGGATCTGAAGATCGAGGATGCTGATCACCATGATGCACATAGATTCCTGGAAGCCATAGATACTTCGTATTCGACGGTATGTACCTAGATTCCCTGTCCTATCTTTTCTCTTAAGTGTAAGTGTGCTTTGGAAATATACTACTATAGAAGGGATATTTATTCAAATGGGATGATGATAGGTATGGTTTCTGCTCACCCAGAATGCCACAATTTTGATATAACCGATTTTTAGTTACTTTTGTCTGTTGGGAAGTTATACAAGTAAGTTGATGAATAATATTTTCATATTTTTTTTCATATGTGAAGTATGAAGTATAAATTATGGATCTGACACAAAAAGCATAACGGTTTTCTTTCGATAATACTACACCAGTTGTTTAAGTTGTCATCAAATTAGGGTTTACATTAGAAAGCTTTCATTGCAGTTCAAGGTAAAGCTAGTCATGGGAGGATTATTAATTAAGCTAAGTGAAAAATACTTTCAGGCAGCTCTTATATTGGGTGCCATTTGTTCTTGTGTTTCAAATAATTAACTTAAGTTATTATTGTTAGTATTATAATAACAGAATAATAATGATCTGTAATGATGATAATGATATTATTATTGTTGTTATTATTATTGTTATTATTATTATTATTATTGTTATTATTATTATTGCTATTATTATTATTATTATTATTATTATTATTATTTTTTTTTTTTTTTTTTTTTTTTTTTTTTTTAAATTATACATTTTTTAAAAATTATATATTTTTTATTATCGTCATCACCATCACCATCATCATCATCATCATCAATATCAATATCAATCATCAATCATCATCATTGTCATCATCAATCATCTTTATATTATTATTATTATGATTATGTTTATGATTACTTCTTTATCTCTTTATTATTATCATTGAAAAAAAATGTGCAACTCAACAGTGATTACAATAGTTGTCATTTACTAATACAGTCCCAATGTTTCTATGCTTTCATGATGTAAAAATATGGAGGGTAAGTTGTTAGAGGAAGCATATATTTATAGTTGGCATGTTGGTATTTCTTCTATAATTTGATCTAAGAGAATATATTATTACATTACATTAAATGAGTATAAAATAGGGATTTTTTTTATTATAGTATTTGTTGAATCTATGCATGTAGGTAATTTTTTTTGGTCATTGTAGACTAGCTATTATATATGATTTTTAATTTTAGTATTTTTCCACAAACTTTTTTTAGACCCCTTGTACTTTATGATGTGCAGTGTAGAGAGTAGTCATGTACAATTTCCAGAAGTTTTGTATTTTCCCTTTTTTTTTTTTTTGGGGGGGGGGGTCCTGTAGTTGCAATATTCATTATACTTGATTTTACTTTTGCAGATTTGCATGTATGTTTAATTTTGATTAATCTAGCATTAGTGTCACAGCAGCATGAAAACTTTTATAGTTTGTAAAAGCTGTGTATATCATTTCTTGCACAATTTTGTTTGTACTTATTGTCCTAGCAGTATTTCAAAATTCAAGGTATATATAGACTGATTCAGATTTCATTTACTGCTTTTCAGATTTATAGAAAAAAAAGTATTTATAAATTGGATTAACATTCATCTTTACTGCTTTTTATGTTTATGGAAGCACCATTTTGACTAGTGCTGTTGCCAGATGCAACAAAAGAGAGAAAACATTAATTGGGTTCTTCTCATCCACAGATTGCCGTCAACTGTGCAATTTCTGCAGGACTGTATGTCGTGACTCTTGCCGTTTCTGGCTGGCAAATGTGGGTGAACAAGAACAGTTAGATAGATTATATTTAGGAGGACATCAGGGAAATATCTATTGATGTTGAGCAATAGAAGAAACATCTTGGTTAAGCCCTTTTTTTTCTTTTTTTTCTTTTACATATACCACAGAAAATATGTTTGAAATTTTAATAGATGTATGAATATATATAAATACCTTTTTTTTTTTGTTTTCCTCATAGTTTTCATTGGTATTTCACAAAAAAGGGACATGTTTACCTTTCTGTTGTCACATTCCCAGAAGTTGAAGAGCGTGATCCAATTACACCTTGGGAGTAATGTTTGCAATAGACTATATACATTATCTACTGTTACCATGCACAAAAGCCAGACCATTGGAATTATGTAGAAAGTAAGAGAAAACACTTAAATAGAAGAAAAATCAGATGGTTGTAAATGCATTTTAATAAATTTGGTTGGATGATAAATCCTCTTAAGTATTCAAAATTTTAATAGCAGGTAACAGGTGATTTTAAGAAGTAACAAGGATGGTAAAGATTTTGTTTGTTTGTTTGTTTGTTTGGTTTCTCTTGTAGATTTTGTTTGGTTGTGGTACATGTATGAAAACAACTACCTTAAAAGATAGTAAGAACACTTCTTTTAAAAATATTATTAAATGTACAGGCATGAATCTGTTCTAATTTGGTGAGTTGTATAAGTGTAAATTATGTATATTTATGTACATTCCAGTGTGTATTAGTTAGGCAGAGTCAATAATAAATCTAAAGATATTAAAAAAAGCTGTTTAATTGTATCCTAGTTTTTTTATGAATGAATATTGTGATTGAAAATCTCTAGTAATTACTGCTTTATGGAAAATATTACAACCATTCTTATAAGAAACAGTTGTATTGCATTACTGATGAAAACAATGAAAAATGCTGATGAACAAGTAAATTTAGTATTTCAGAAGAACCAATATTTTTACACTACTTTTTACTTTTGATCAAAGATCGGCAAGGTATATCTTATTTTGGCCACAATGATGATATCTAAAATTGCTTTCACTTTTTTCTGGTGTTTGAATCCGCCCATTCCATTATCAATTTGCAGTTCCTTTCAGAGATAAAGATATTACAATAATTTTTTTTAATACCTTCTACTAAATAATACCTTCTTGCAAATATGAATCACTCACTACTGCTGTTCAACTCAACTGTAATTTTACTAAGTCTGCCACACCCTGGTATGATTATGATATTTGGAAGCTGGGAACAGATTAGTCATTAAAAATTGATGTTGGCAAAATATATACATATAAGATATCAATGCGGCTTCGCATTATTCCATCTTTCATAAAGATACCACAGTACACCTGACTTAGGATTTGAATTACTAAATCAATTTCCTCCAAGTACCCATGGGGGGAGTGCATAAAGTTTTGCCATCATTACTGTAGTTTGAGTAGATAGGTAATGTGGATGGAGCTAATGAGATCCTACTCCTTTTAGTGGGTTGTGTGGCATGGTTGGTTTAGAACTGGCCCTCTGGTTTCATACCCGGAGTCATCTGAGTTCGAGTCCTGGTCAGGGAGGGTTGTTATATATCAATATCAATGTGGCACTGCATTACTCCATCTTTCATAAATATACCACAGTACATCTGATTTAGGATTTGCATTGCTAAATCAATTTCCACTGAGTGGCCATGGGGAGTGTGTAAAACTTTGCTATCATTACTCTAGTATGAGTAGATAGGTAATGTCTATGGAGCTAGTGAGATCCTAGTTGCATATTCCTTTTAGTGGGTCTTGTGGCTTGGTTGGTTTAGTACTGGCCCTCCTGTTTCATACCCAGAGTGGTCTGGGTTCGAGTCCTGGTCAGGGAGGGTTGTTATATGTTGATATCAATGCAGCATTGCATTATTCCATCTTTCATAAGTACATTTATGGTACTAATAATAAAGTTAGAAGTATTGTATAATAATGAGCAAGTATCCAAAAACTGTTTAATAAATGTACTATACAAAATCCATATTTGCTAATAATTGCGTAATGTTCTTTATCTTCCATTCTCTACATATTTATCATTCTTTATTCCTTCTCCTTTTACATCCCTTTATTTAAGTACATAAAATGACAAGGACTGGAAGGAAAATAACTTGCAATAAAGTATTCCACACCATGGTTCTGTAAATAATGTACAAAGAGTATGTTCCTTTTCTTGTATAAAAGAATAGCATATAAACATTACAAAGTTATATAAATCTATCTAGTGTATAACAAACATTTACTACTCTATCAGCTTTACAGAATCCTAGAATCAGAACCTTATTTCAATGAGGGGAAAAAAAATGATCACAGCTACCTAAAGGTTCCTTCGTTAACATACACCAAATCATTCTCTTTCTCTCGTCACACCGCTTAATTCTCCACCAGGAAATTCTTAGAAATTTTCCTTCTCTGATCCCAGTAAGACGCAGGTTGGCATGGCAGGGGAGACCGACAAATTGGAAGAGTAGGAAAGACACCTATCCGATAACAAAATGGGAGTTGAATTTTCACGGGGCAATTAGGTCCAAGTGGGAAAACTGGCAGAGGCTCAGTACTGATTTGTTCACAGAGATCTTTAACAGAGAAGGTGGTAAAGGCATTTTCTTTGACACCTTTGATGCAAATGCGTCACTGCACAAAGATACCATACACTAAGCAACAACACTTCTCACATGTAGGCCTATATTAAGGTTGTGTCCAGTTGCTATTTCACATTTTCTTGATGTGCCGTTTTCTGAAGTACTCGGGGGCAACCTCAAACAGCCACTGTGCGTCCACTGCTGAATTGATATGCATGTACATCTTGCCAGTGTGGACCAGTTCAGTAAAGAGGATGTAGGCGGGCTTTCCTCCAAACAAGACGGATGTTGGGTGAATGGAACACTCTTGCCTGGTATCGAGTGACAGGTACTTCCCATCCAGCTGTAGCTCTGCAATGTTTGTGAAGAGTCCAGCAACAAGGCATCTGCAGAGAAATGACCATTAGGAGAGTTGCTGGCAAAATAGATTATTGCATTTTCTATCATTTCCTTTCCTTAATTCACTTTCCATCTTCCAAAAAACTTACTCTATCTATTCTGATACATGAAAAGAAGAAGAAGAAGAAGATGGCACTTCAAAAAAAAGCTTAGCATTTGAAAATACTTTTCAAAATTATTCAACCTACTGTTCCTATAAATAAACATATCACTGACAAACATAGAAACTAGTATAACAAAAAAAATATTAGCAGGGTAACCAACACAAACAAATTAATGTAACAGACCAACAGAGCCAAATTAAGGCAGAACCTATACAGAAAGAAAAAACATCTGTACCTTCTGAGAGCATCCATACCTTCTGAGAGCATCCATATCTTGGTTACAAGAAGCTAAAGTAACATTATTTCTCTGGCAGACCTGATGCAACTGTTTCCGCACCTCCAGAGCATATTTCAGGTTTCGATGGTTCAGGAAGTTCTCGTGACACCACATCTGCAAGAGAGATTAGGAGAAAATTTTAAATTATAGAATAAAGTTATAATATAAAGTGACATAATAAGAAAAAGAACTGGGATACAAACTTCAGTATTTGTGACTTAACACCTTGTTTCTAATATTGAGTAAATTTGAAAATAATTATATGCAACTTAATAAAACAGCATATTCTTTTCTAACCTTGTTCTCTTTTGAGCCTCTAAATGCTCTGAAAATTTTGAGCATTGTCACATGGTCGCCTTCTACAGACAAAAATTTGCGCCGCACGCTAGCAGCCATCTCCTTCTTTCCACTTGGGTTGACATAAATGGATTCACCAGACAGCATAGCAATTACAGACAGGACCTGAAAATTAAGAAACACTCTTGTGAAATATGACTACTAGAGTCTATGAATTAGTCACAGAGTAATAACAGTCTCTCATACTTTACTGAAGAGAATAAAGCCTGTATTTGCATAGAAATAGTGATCAAATTTAAATGACACATTTAAGGGCTTTTTGCAAATATTATAGCTACATGCATACACATAAAATCAACCAACCTCATCAGTACAGCCATACTGTGGGCCTGAGAGAATCACTTTTGAATAACGAGGCTCTAGGGGGAATTGCGCCATCTTCTTGCCCAAGTCTGTCAGCTCCAACTGCCCTGCTTTCATAACAACAGCCTCCAACAAGGTCAACTGCTCAACAGCCTGCTTGATACTTGATGGGCTTGGCTTATCAATAAAGTCGAAGGTAAGGATATTCTTGATACCCATGGCCAACAGCTGGAGAATCACACTGGCAAGATTTGAGCGCAGGATCTCTGGGACAGGATTTACCTCCATTGCATTGAACTCCTCGAGTGTGTAACTTCGATAACAGAACCCAGCAGTTTCCCTTCCAGCACGGCCTGTCCTTTGCCATGCCTGGGCTTGTGAGATCTTCTTGACTTTGAGGGAGTCAAAGCCATTGACTGGATTGTATGTCCTTATCTTTGCTCTTCCAGAGTCAATCACGTACTTGATTCCAGGAATAGTGATAGAGGTTTCAGCAATGTTTGTGCTCACAATCACCTTCCTCTCTCCTGGTGCTGTTACTCTGAAGACATCCAGTTGCTGGCTGGATGGCAAGGCAGCATAGAGGGGCAGGACTCTCATTCTGGGGAACTCTGCCAAGCTACTGTCCTTTGCTACCTGCCGGATGCTGTGTGTGACCGAGTCAATCTCTTCCTGTCCTGTTAGGAAGATCAAAATGTCATGCTGTGCTGGAGCCTCCTTATGTATCTGGAAGACAGTGCTCATGGAGGCTAACACATAATCATCCTGTTTTTCTCTGGCGTATAGCATTTCCACAGGGTGCTGTCGACCCTCAATGTACAATACTTTGGCTTTATTGAAGTACTGACTAAAGTGATCAACATCCATGGTGGCTGACATAACTATCACTTTCAAGTTATCTTTCTCTAGTTGCTTTCTCTTCTTCTGGGCATCTTTCACAATGCCAAACAACACGTCAGTGCTTATAGTCCGTTCATGGGCCTCATCAAGTATGACCCAGTTATACCTACTGAGCAATGGATCTGATATAGCTTCCCTTAACAACATACCATCTGTTACATACTTTAGTTTTGTACTGGGTGACACACACTCTTCAAACCTCACAGAATAGCCCACCAGACCCCCTATCTGTGTGTTCATTTCTTCTGCGACACGCTTGGCCACAGAGATTGCTGCAACTCGCCTGGGCTGGGTGACACAAATCCCCCCCTTCTTGTCCCATCTCTCCTCATGCAGGTACTGTGGGATCTGTGTTGTCTTTCCACTGCCTGTTTCACCAATAACAATCACAGTCTCATTTTTTTTCAATTCCTCCAGCAGTTTGGCTCGAGTGGGGAAGATGGGGAGAGCATGTCTCTGCTTCACAATGTTTTTCAAATGTTCAGTGTTCTTGGCATTGCCATTCATGAACCCATTCTGGCCTGGAGAGCTCTTCTGGAAGGGAGAGCCTTTCCCATGATTATTGTTTCCCTTGCTAAAACCGCCTCCAACACCATTTCTGATGGGGGACTGCTGTACTGGCATGTGGGCTCCCAAAAGCCTGTTCTCAGTTTTTTGCTTCTTGGTCGGTGGCTCCTGGAATCCTGCCATTGTCTGAAAAATAATGAGGGAGTCAGTAAAGAGGTCTACATCTCTTTAGAGCAACTTTCAATAACAGTTTTTAAACTCATGCAAAAAGATATCAAACTAAAGGACAAAAGATATATTAATTTCATTCTAATTATACATATGTACTAACATATTTACACTACAAACTTCAAAAAATATATTTCTTGTATTGTAATATTTATTTTTATCTATTCATTAATTTTCTATTTTATTGTATCTATTTATTATTTCTTTTAAGCTTTGATATTCTCCTTGTCTGAGAACTTAAATGGTGACCTTATACAATAATATCATGCATTAAAAGAATAGTCTATAGAAATATTCAGACCTACCAGTAATTGTGTTACCTGCAATACTGTATTTTATTTTATTTATGTATGTTTGCATGTACAGGTTTACATGCCCTAGGCTAGTCAATTTTCTTTTTAGATTTTGGCCTACTCTTGGCATATCTATGGTCCACTAGCTGTCAAAATTAGAAATGGAGCTCTCTTTTTCCACCTGTTATCTGTATAAAATTGATTAACCCACTGGCTGTAGGTACGTGTTTTGTCTACTGCATATTTTTTTGTGCATTTTGTTGTTCACAGAATTTTCCAAAAGTACTCAGCCACCAAGGAGTCAATCAGTATGCCCTAGTGACTGGACCTACAGAACTTTAGAGTTGTTTTTCTCATATCTTTCCTATAACATACATCTACATGACCCTTTGTATTTTGGTAAATGTGAAAAGACTTCCTAGTTTCCATCAAGTGTAGGGTGAATACCTCAAAGCAGCAAAAATTACTTGACTTAACCCCATGTCGCCGGGAAATCGTTATGTTCACTACAGTATTGAAATGTCTCATTTTTCTTACTAATGTTATCATTATCGATGCTATTATAATCATTATTGACACTCTAATCATTATAATGTTATTGACATTACTAACAAATAAAAAAAACAGGTAAACATTTCCAGTAATCAAGGAAAAGGATAAACAGGGGAGAGAGGTAGTACTCGTAACTGGCTCACTGCTGCCTCAGTACATATTAACTATTAGTAAATCAGATAAATCAAATGAAACTTCTCTAACATTCAACCTTTGCTGGAATGAACAGTGTATTTGTCTCAATAATTTCTTGATGCTGAATCCCTGTCAAGTTGAGGTTCAGATCCTGGGCAAGATTCGAGTAAATTTAACTAGGCAATATAATTACGTGAAATGAGTCCCATTTTAAGAGCAACTGCGGGTGTCATTTTAATATTTACAGCCATGACTCTTCGGAAATATGTGCATTAGTATTTTTCATTTGGAACGATAAAAGATCTTCAAAGCCAACGAAACACGTTGGTAAAAATACAAATTGACGAAAAATACAATTAATTCTAAATTACATCACTTATTCTCTGTCTACGGTCCTCGGTAATTACTCACGTTCTTCGAAAGACACAAAATGATATATTCTACTCACCGATGTTACTTAAAAAACTATCGCCAAGGGCCTAACATAGGCTAATATCTACAATTCTTAGATAAACATCTTTTCCTCCTCACATGTTTACATTTCCATCCGGATACCACCTACATTTACAAGAACGGTCTAGAGCATAGAGTAGCGTTTTTGTAATCGCGTGCGGTGCGAAGACGAGGAAAAAAAAGAAAAAAGAAAAAAAAAACATATATATATATTTAGATCACGATTATTATCTGTGCTTTATATATATGTATTTTTTTTAGGAATAGTGTTGGGTGATAACTTCCTCTGCCGGTATTGCTGACTAGTATGGGATATATGTAACATTACTTTTTATATGATATATTATAAATCAATCATTAACACACAAGGAAAATAATTTTCTCTCTCTCTCTCTCTCTCTCTCTCTCTCTCTCTCTCTCTCTCTCTCTCTCTCTCTCTCTCTCTCTCTCTCTCTCTCTCTCTCTCTCTCTCCTCTCTCTCCTCTCTCTCTCCTCTCTCTCTCCTCTCTCTCTCTCTCCCTCTCTCTCTCTCTCTCTCTCTCTCTCTCTCTCTCTCTCTCTCTCTCTCTCTCTCTCTCTCTCTCTCTCTCTCTCTCTCTCTCTCTCTCTCTCTCTCTCTTCTCTCTCTCTCTCTTCTCTCTTCTCTCTCTCTCTCTTTCTCTTCTCTCTCTCTCTCTTTCTCTCTCTCTCTCTCTCTCTCTCTCTCTCTCTCTCTCTCTCTCTCTCTCTCTCTCTCTCTCTCTCTCTCTCTCTCTCTCTCTCTCTCTCTCTCTCTCTCTCTTCTCTCTCTCTCTCTCTCTCTTCTCTCTCTCTCTCTTCTCTCTCTCTCTCTCTTTCTCTTCTCTCTCTCTCTCTTCTCTCTCTCTCTCTCTCTCTCTCTCTCTCTCTCTCTCTCTCTCTCTCTCTCTCTCTCTCTCTCTCTCTCTCTCTCTCTCTCTCTCTCTCTTCTCTCTCTCTCTCTCTCTCTCTCTCTCTCTCTCTCTCTCTCTCTCTCTCTCTCTCTCTCTCTCTCTCTCTCTCTCTCTCTCTCTCTCTCTCCTCACCTCTCTCTCTCTCGACTGTCTGACTCTCTCTCTGTCACTTCACTCTGTCTGTCTTTCTCTCTCTCTTCTTCCCTCTCTCTTTCTGTCTCTTCTCTCTCTCTCTCTCTGTCTGTCGACTGTCTGTCTGTCTGTCTGTCTATCTTTTGGTCTTTTTGTCGTCTGTCTGTCTTTTGCTGTCCGTTTGTCTGATTATTGCTATGGCATTATGTTTTTTGTTTGTCAGATTTATGACCGTAATTCTTTTCGTTTAAGCTACTGTCTCTGTGTTATGATGTTAACGAAGACAGTGATAATAACGATAATATCAGTGATAATAACGATAATATCAGTGATAATAACGATAATATCCTCTAATACGTAGTGATGGTTGTAGTGATGATGAAAATAATCTAATAGAAGTATAAAAATAAACTAATAGATCTGCTGATCATGCGTTCTCTGTATCTATACATTTATAAGGATATGTATCTGTTCATCTTTTTTGCAACAAAGAAAACCTTTAATTAGTTAAATTTAGTTACAAAACAGTTATGTACGTAGAGTACGTTTTTTATGGAGCTGTGTTCTATATATACTTCTGCACGTATATGTGCTGCACAAAGGTTTATAATCAGGGCTCTCTTTCAGCTTTTCTGGGGGGGGGCCAAGGTTCTAATTTAGAAAAAATCTCCTCTCTCCCTCTCACCTCTCCCTCTCTCCTCTTCCTCTCCCTCTTCCTCTCCCTCTCCCCTCTCTCCTCTCCTCTCTCCTCTGTCCGCTTCCCTGTCTTCCCTCTCCCCCCTCTGTCTGCCTATCTGTCTGACTGCCTGTCTGTTTGTCTGTCTGTCTGTCAATCTGTCTGTCTGTCTGTCTGATTTATTGCTATTTGGCATTTATATCAGTGATAATAACGATAGTGATGATTGGTAGCGACGATGAAAAATATAATAGCTAAATAGATAGATAATATAAAAATAAACTAATAGCATCGTGATGATAATGACGGTTATATGTATCTATGTATTTATAAGTATATGTATATGTGTATATATCCTTCTTTTTTTGCTACAAAGAAAAACTTTAATTAGAAAAAAATAGTTAAAAAACAGTTAAGGACCTAAAGTACGTTTTTTATGGAGCTGTGTTCTATATATACAAAGTATATAAGCACGATATGTGTGTTATCCCCTGCTGCACAAAGGCTTATAATCAGGGACGTCATTTCAGCTTTTTCTTTGGGGGGGGGGGGCAAGGTTGGCCTGGTGTAATTTAGAGAAAAAATCTTGAAGGTATGGCCCTTAGGGTGGTTAGCCAGACCAAAATGACGCGCCTGCCTATAATTCCCAGGTGTTAGCTTTATAACAGATTGTAAAATATGTTAAAATAATTGCGTCATCCCTTCTTAAAATATACTCTCGTTTTCTTAGAATACTAAATATTATATTAGAGAAAACCTGTTTGTTAATTGGCAAAACTTACTTAAAACTATTTAGAAGAAATCGTAATATTCTTTGTCCTAATTAAGATAAAATAGTATATATATTTGTTAATCTTGTACTTTGGAAGCTGAGTTTAGACAATCTTGACATAAAATATTTCAAAGGTATTCTTTTCTTCTGTAGAAAAAAAATATAATTTCATCTGTCTGATGCCAGACGGATGCCTTCATACTTTTTAATTCATAGGATTATATTATATATATGTGTATTACAAGACTGCCAATAACAAAAATAATCAATGTAGCAACGGAAAGAGATCGTAATCTTATTTATAATAGTTTTGTGTATAAAACGTTTTCTATGAAAGATCAGCTGGTCAACATGGCTGTAAACCGAAACAATCATGACAGGAAATAGAGCAAATACATAATTTACAAAATGCAAGTAGAATTGTGACTAGTGGAACTTTAAGTCATCAAAGATAAGTAATATATCCACAAAATAAATGTAAGGGATAAAAATAACGGAGAAAAACTCCAAAATTTGGTCTCATAGGATTGGTAGAGTTGACTGACCCCGTTTCACAGTTGGCATCCCTGCTCATTCGCGAAAATGTAAACATCACATGGACTTTGTCAGCGAGAGACGCCCCTTCCTCTCAGCTTTTCATGTAATACTCGCTTTCCAGGACTCGGGGAGGGAAGTTGACCATGGCTGAGATACATATTCCCGAGAATGACGATCCAGATGGTGTTCTCGTAGCGACGGTAGCCACGAGAGCTGCCAGGAATAGGGAGAGAAGTGCGAGTGCCAGAAATCATCAGCCTGGACCTGTTGTGGGACTCGTTACACCTCGTCTCCATGAAGGGGATACGGAAGAATTATTACCCAATGATGAGCTCGCTGAGGATCCTGAACGAGATCTGTTCATGTCATGTCAGCTTACGAGCTCATTCGGGGAGGAAAAAGGTAATGCAGTAGTAGTGGTATTGTTTAGCCCGTTTATTACTTTTGGTGCAATTGCAGATAGATATACATTGCATGAGATCAACAGACTCATGGATTTTAAACAGTTGTAGTCTTATGACATAACTGTTACAAATTGAATATAAAACGTTAGATAATAAGGAAATTAATGGACAGATTCTATCAAGTTCCCAGTGCAACCTCCATGCCTGTGTTATTCTAGGTATGCAAGAACCTCTATTGCATAAATTCTAGCATGGACTGGCATCTTATTTGATTATAAATTTCTAGAGATAATAAGTAGGGATGAGCAGATGCTATAGATTATGATGTTCATTGCACTAGTAATCTGAATCAGGCCATGTTTTGTGCAAATGAATGGTGAGTTACAGTTTTATGAAGAAAATAGATTTCATTATCATATACCATTTTTCTGTGTTTATTCTCCTTCATAAAGATGCAGGATTAAACCTAGAAAGAAGGTTTTGGCCCAAATTTAATTTAGAAAAATAACAACCACAAAAAACTTGGTCCTTGAATTTCCTTGAATTAGGAGACTGATAGTGAAGTATGATATTACTAGTGTAATTTGGCTGTCTTCAGTGGTTTTACTCTTTGATATTTGCTCTAAAATCAGGAATATATAATACACTATATGATAAGAAAACATTATTTTGGTCACTGATTTTATTCATGTCGTAAATTAATGTTATTGTTTTTTAGCCGTAATATTGTTGGTAATAATATGATTTTACTTTTCAGCATCAATACTGTGAATAATAATATATTTGTGTTTTTCAGGGATCACATGGTATAAAGCAATGTTTTTGATAGTCAATGCAGCATTAGGTGCTGGGCTTCTTAATTTTCCAAGAGCATTCCATGAAGCAGGTGGAATTGTTTCCGGGAACTTAGTTCATATTGTAAGTTGTGGCTAAGATTGCCTTTACTGCAGTTGAAACTAAGATTTTCTTTGAATGAAATAGAAGTTAAGATTTTTTCTCAATGCCATTTTAATTTTTACCCTTGGAGACTTGCTTCTGTGTTCTCTCAGACAAAGCAAAATTAAATACAATTAGAAAAACTAACTTTCCCAATTTTATAATGAGACGAAGAACTCGCACTTTACATTATATTCTTCATTACAGATATTCACCTCCTTTGCCCTTGGCTCTCTCATTATCATTGCAAGATGTGCTAGTGAGAGAAATTGTAAAACATATCAGGAGGTGAGTAAGCCATTCTTATAATAGCTATTGGCACAGCACTTTATATAGGCTAATGTTTGAGTGTATGTGTATGTAAGCTACATGTTATCTCTCCCTATTTCTATTTGAGGGTGTACATGCTGGTTTTGGGAGAGTAATTAGTGTTCTCATTTTCTGTTTTATTTTTATGGGATGCATGATTTTAGGCTAAATAGTAAACACAAACTCTGTTGTATTGAACATTGCACTTTTTTTTTATCCTTATATTTGTATTCATTAATATAATTACTGTATGAGCTGGTGTAGATTTTATGGTATCATCATTACTGTTTTTTCTTTTAAGTGTGCTGTTATAGGTAGTCCCATCGAAGGGCTGGTTTAGTATAAATTATCTTTTAATATTTTTATTTGTCAAATACTATTAAAGCAATTAAATAAATTTGCTAAAACTTTTGCCTGTATATCTATTTTTATAACTTT